AATTTTATAGTATATACTTAAACATATATATGAATGTTTTTAATGAATGGATTTTATAATAATACAAATAGCAATGTGTAACATTTTACCATATTTAGTGCAACACTTTATTTGTTCCCCACAAAATATTTTTTTCACTAAATGTTTGGATTTCTAAAATTATTGTGCACTGATTTTTCTAGAATAACTTTTGCTGCCGAATTATCCACTAACCTAGTTTTTGATAAATTTTTGTCATAGATTATAAATATACATAGGCCTATATTTTTTCATATTTATTGTTTATTTCATTTTGCTTTATAATGAAGTAGTCTGTATCTAGTAGATTGTGAAAGAATGATTATCAGTTCCACACACAGAGATATATAAATTCTACATTTATTTAAATGGGGGAAAAAAACTTCACTGGTATCGGATCTGTATCGGCCAATACCGAACCCTAGGTATCGGAATCCGTATCGGAGGCGAAAAAGGCGGATCGGAGCATCCCTACCATCTATCTATCTATCTATCTATCTATCTATCTATCTATCTTATCTAACCCCACCGTCCGTACATCCGTCCATCAATCCATCCATCCATATTGTAGCAACAACCTAGCAACCACCCAGAATACCATAGTATCTGTTAAAAACAATCGAGCAACCATCTAGAACATCTAAGCAACTTTCTAGCAACATGCTAGCAAATATTAACTATATATAACTTTATAAACCCTAAATCTAAGTTGCTGCTTTTTTCCAAATAACAGCATTTCAACAGACAACATTCTGTCAAGCCAACATTCAAAGTTTGCCCTGACAAACGTTCCTTTTCCCGTTCTAACTTCAGGAGTTTTGTTGTCTTTTAAGAGCACTAAAAATAAAGAAATCAACCACTAACCATACTAACACCAGCCATGCAGACATGAGAGGGAAAATCAATGAGAGGATTACAGCTTTAAGGAGATTGGAATATGTTTAGATGTAGGAATAGGAATATGAGTTGGAGAGGAGCAGAGGAGAGTAGAGGAGAGGAGTATTGTAAGTGAGAGCAGAACTCACGGTGAGTGAACGCTGCAGACTGAAGACCTGCGAGAGATTGCATCTCGATTTTGCTTTACAAAACTGCATATGCGAAACAAAAACAAAACAAAAGAATGAGACACAAACGCAAATGAAAGAAGTGCCGAGGGAGCAGATGGCAGTCAGACTGAAGTCACTCTGTCTGTCCACCTGTCCCCTGTGTGTTTTCAAAGACACAAACATTGGTAACACGTCAGTAAAGGAAACTTTAAACACTGTACAGACTGTGGCCATGGAGAATGTTTGAAGACTTTGAAAATGCATAAAACAGACATGAAATTATTTTAAAAACTGATCTCTGAAATTTTGACCCTGCACTTCAGTGTCACCAAAATATAAAGCTAGCAATATGTGTGTTAAAAAAATAAAAAATAACTTATAAACAAGCTGCATTACAGAAGTGTACAGAAGTGTTTGCAGTTTTGTAAATAATACTCTGTGATTTGATGTGATACAATGAAATGTGAATTATAATTGGTTTTGTTAAGAAATTATGAAATGACAATTGTAAAATGCTAACTTCATGTGCTCTGTGAACAGACAAGAAGAAATGGTTACACATATGAAAACAAATAACAAATGTAAAATGAAAGTAGAACAACCAGAAAAAAGACAGTCTGTTGCATTCAAACTGAAGACATAAGCATTCAGATTGTTGTTTTCTTAAAACCTATTGCACATTACATCATTCAGTGTTTCTTCAAGTAAAGGCACTTTTGTATAGAAGAGGTTTATTTGTGTTGATTTGTAATTTTAAAACAATACTTACAAAAGTATATAATAATTGTATGTTTTTAAAACTAGATATTTTTAAAATGATAATTTCTTCAATTTCAGACTGACAATATTAGGAAAATATTACTTGTGAATTTATGATACATAAAATGCCTCTTTTTCCTAAAAAAAAAATGGTTAAATGTAGTTTCCATTAACATCATTTCCTGTGATGCATGTATGTAGATTGTTGTATGTGGCTCATAGACATATTACTATAAATAAATTAATGAGAGTGTGAATGGGCCAAAAGTGCAAATACCTGAAAAAACCCTAATTTCACACTTTTGTCTTAAGCTATAAAGTATTTTAGGTTTATTTACCTTGCAGAAGCTTTCAGGCAAAATTAGCATATGTAAAACACATAATATGATACCATAACAACTATCTCTCCAGATGACATAATTAAACTATAATAACATTGCTTTGATATAACATATTACCCTAAAGCAACACACCCATGAAGAACAGACTACACAGAGCAGGTTTAAGGGGAGGCCAGGGTCACACTGACATTGACTGGACAAACAATCAAGCAATCACAAAAAAACTTAACAGAGAAGTAACAAACAACTGCTACAGTACACATCAGAGGAAAAGTTCCATAGCGCAAGGCTGGTTAAGATAACATACAGGGGGAAAAATCAGACACTTACGCTGCTATTGAGATGTTGGCAGCAGACATTGGGCTGACCTCCTTCACCTCCATAGCCTTCTGAAGAGCCATGCTTTTCTTTGCTGCCTCCTCTTGTTCCTCTTCATCCTGAAAGCATGGACATTGCAGAAATGAAAGATCAGGACAAATGAAACCTACATCCTCAGGGTGTTTTGTGTCAATATAGTGTAATAACAAAAAACAAAGCAAAATTATTATAAATCAGGTGACAGGTAGTGTTATTAAGGTCAGATTACCTTTGTTAGCTCCTGCGCATTGGCAAGATTATCCACAGCGATGGCCAAGAATACATTGAGAAGTGTGTCTAGTTATTATCAGGTTAGAGAATTGTTCGTATTTCATATTGCATTTCATTCAACATACATTTGATTTGCATTAAAACAGACTACATTTTTACATTTGATCAATAATTCAAAGGAAAGAAATTCAACTGAATTGTTTTATCTACTTTTTTCATTAAAAGGTATGAAACTTTCTTATATTTATTTATAAAGAATATTCACTTTATGATTTTCCATATGTTGAACTTTTTCATGCAGATGTATTACAAATCTTCTTGTCCCTGATGCCCCAAACATTTGAACAGATGTAGGACAGGATACAGTTTCCAAACAGTGTAAGAACAATGAAGTAGACCGAGGAGAACATTCCACCCCGGACACCACCCTGGGACTCTATCCCATGATACATCACTGCATTCCAATCCTCTCCTGTCAAAATCTGCAAGAGGCATAAACAGGTCAAGCACACCAAACAGTCTTACAGTTTAATACATGAAAAAAAACACATTAAACATTCATAAAGCCAAATTAAAATAAAGTATACCTGGAAGACTGTCATTATGGCTGCAGGGAAGCTGTCAAAGTTTGTAGTGGGAGTTTCATCTTCAAAATTAAACCTGGTTGGGAAGAGAGAGAGCTTCAGCGCACTTGGTGTAAAAAGACTTCAGAGGTACACTGAAGATTTTGATGTCAGTTCTGGTTTGCTTTAATTGCAGGGCTGTCAAAACAAAGATACCGAGTTACTAGGATTAAAATTCTGTTTTATCATGATTTGTACCCCTGAGCACGGCACTTATCATCAGTAATTTGTGTGCTTGAATGTTAAAAACAATCAGAATAGTGTAACATTCATACTCAAATGAGATATGGCTTGTTTTTTTTGTTTATTTCCATTTCTTTCCACCTTTTGGATGAAAACGTGAAACACAGAGACACTTATCTCTATCTAGGAGGGCTTTGGCACCCCTGTGTTTCATCTCATCCACCTAAAAACACAACTCCACTGAAATCAAATGAAATTTGGCCACACGCCACCATTTCTGATATACTGACAAACTTGAACCAGACTCAGATTCATGACCTCTTGCACATGAGGCAAGAAAATATTTGTCCTTGCCTCAAATGAAATGAACTGGAGGATCGGTTTTCTTCTTTTTTGATCCATCCCTATCATTCTCTTCCTCTTTCAAGCATTTTATTTTTTAGATTTCAGAGTTCTCTTTCAGTCCTGCCATCTTTAACTCTCTCCAAATTGCCTTTCAGAGTCTGGCCTTCAAGTGTAACACAAGAACACAACGGTGACTCATCCATTCATAGAGGAGATTCAGAGCATGCTTGCTTTCACAACAGTGAATTATGGTGGAAAGGATGTATTATTCAGTCCTGGCTTGTCGTGGGATTTGTGCATTAGCTTTACATCGTAAACATAAAGAGGTTTCCAACAGAAGTTGCAGTAGATGCACCATTGCACAAAACAAAATGCTGTTCACTCATACAGTATAAGAAGCTTAGAATATGCTTGATTACACAGAACTGTAAATGCAAAAATTGACAAAGAATAAAGTTTCAGCAAAGGATAAATGGATTTCCAGCACTAAAAATCCCTTGCAGTAGCTCTGCTACTAAATTTATATTAAAAAATGGCTATCCTTGTACAGCTATGATCAGCTGTTTCTCCATCTTGGCTTAGCTTTCAATTTTGTTACGGGAAAGGATGAAGCTGATTGGTTGATTCTTGTCACATGACCCGCGGTGCACTTGCTGTGTTTTGAAAAGTTTAGATGTTTCTAATTACATTTTCTACCTGTTAGATTGTGTTTTATTAACGTCTACACCTACCCCAGCACAAAACTTACCCTTTACAATAATGAAATACTAATTACTGTTGTACAGTGTGACAAAAATTACGCTGTATTTATGTGCGCATGCCCAGTAGCGCCAAACGTATCCCGTCTAGCCTTAACCGCACGCATGCGTCATTTCCCGAGCTTTGCGTGTGCACGCTGTGCGAAGGCATCAATCATTTTAATTTTTGACCACAGACCCGATGTCAGCAAACAGCAGCATTATACAGTATGGTTTTACAAACCACAGAGAATTCTTCGACGGAGCACGGAAGAGAAGAAACACAAGGCCAGCTGCAAATTTTGCAACAAAACTATTGCAGAAACCTGTGGGACAACATCTAATTTCGTAAGGCACCTGCAAAGACACCACAAAGAGAGGTAAGTTGAGCCGGAAGCCATCCTGAACATAAGAATTAGCCTTTGTATTTGACTCTTTGGTAACACTTTACAATAAGGTTAATTAGTTAACTACATTAGTTAACATAATATTAATGAATATTCCTTCTACAGCATTTATTAATATTAGTTAACTTTAATTACAGCATTCTTATTCAAATTATTCAAATGACA